CTGGCTTTCATGCCTAAGGCAGGACTAGAACTCATTGTCTCCTGGTGATCGGCCCAAAAGTCACCCAGCTATTTTTCTATACCTGAGACAGAACTAGAACTCACCATCTCCTGGTTTCTAGGTCAGCACCTTAAGCACAATACCAACTTGGCTCTTCATTGATCCGATTCTGGTCTGCACCTCCATGATTAACTGGGCCTAACGGTGCTTCTTCGCTTTTTGAGGTTAACCAAGGTTGGCTTTCTCCTAGCTTCGCATTTGAATCCAGGAATTAGGTTTCAACAGTAATAAGGTTGTGTTTGGAAGGCAATAGATGGTGACTCAGAGACGTCATGTCATTGGTTAACTCAAAATCTGATTTTAGCAATCCCTTGGGAAAATATTCTCCAGCTTACAGGGCCACCTGGTGCGTCAAATGCTCCAGCTGGTAATTCACGAGAGAAATTTCTCGTAAATTGGTAAAATTGTGGATTTTTTTTGTTCAGCTTGGCCTGGCTCTCAACGGTTCTCATGGGTTCTTCCTTCTGAGTAGCCTTAGGTAGCACAGGTAGGCCTCAACGTACGACTGTCAGGATTCCGGCATTTACCCCAATTGAATCATGAGCCAAGCTTTAAAAACTTCAGAGGAGTGGACATGCCGGCATGACCTGGATGAAACCTGTGATGACCCAGGGTATAACACAATAATAACCAAGTCACAAAAAAATAGAAGAAAGTCCCTTTAACGCTTCCAACTTGGCCCCAATGTCCAATTATCGTCGGCAGGATATCAAACTCTTAAAGGAAACCGTTTACGGAGAGAGAAATGCATTCCGAAACCAAAGTAAAGTTAATTCAAAATAAAAAACCCAACACACCACACTGAAGGAATTACTACAGGCAGGCAAGGATGATTAATTGCAGACTTCTACCAGGTAACGCAGCAACCAAAGTCGGGAGGAAGCCAAAACACAGATAACCTCCGACAAGAATAATGCACGCTTTGCTTCCAGCAACTTTGCCATGCGCAGTTTGTCCTTTTAACCAGTCCTCCCAGCTGCAGCCGGTGAAGGGGATCAGGGCCCCTTCCTCTCCTGTAGACCGTGCCGCTCACATTGCTCCCTTCTCCGCTCCTCCCTGTGTGACCTAGGATGAAGAGTGGGTGGGCCTGGGTCTTCCTCTGACTGCCCATCCAGCCTGTGTGCCCTTCCCCAGTGACCGGAGCCACACTCCCCTTCCCTGTCAGCTGTTCCTCCTCTCCCTCCAAGTCAGACTCCGACAGGGGCATGACAAAACCACAACTGACCCCTAAAATTCCTGTTGCGAAGTGAAACATTTGTTAAGTGAGTTTGCTCCTTTTTTACGAGTTTTCTTGCTGCAGCCGTTAAGGTAGCCAAGTGTTCCAAATTTTGATCCTACGACCATGGGGGATGGTTCAATGGTCGTTAAGGGGGGAAAAGGGTCATAAATCGTTTTTTGGAATGCTGTTGCAGCTTCGAAGAGTCACTATAAACTATAAACACTATAGTTATAAGAGAACTATCTCTTTTTTATTTTAGTTTTTATCCCAGAGCTATAATTGCACTGAACAATGAAACTTAAAGAACCACCATCAGTGAGCTGTTGAACAGTATTACTTGGTCTGTTGGGCGGATGCTTGTGTGTTTTTAGGAGGCCGGGAATTTTGGTGGGTAGGTTGGTGTTTGGGGATTGTCGTGTGTGTGTGCATGTTGAGTCTGGTCTCTGGGTGTTAATGTGAATTTTGTTGTATGTGTATGCTGTGTATATACGTACAATGACAATAAAGAATTCAATTCAATACCATTCAATTGCAGAATTTTCTATCTGCGTTTGGCTTAGCTGAGCTCAAAAAAATAGGGCAATACCTGGATATGAGCTTAAGGTTTGCTTGGCAGCTGGTTTCTTCTTGTATGAGGGTTAGCCCATCACTCTGAGATCTCCTGGTGGTCCCCCATCCTATTCATTTACTTACTTAATCATCAAATTTATGTACCTGCCCATCTTACAAACAAGGCTAGCTATGGCTACTTGACAGTGCTGTGTTTGATATAGCCTTCTTATTATAAATAGTTCTTGAGTTATGGCCAAAATGTATGTTGCTAAGTGAAACATTGGTTAAGTGAGTTGTGCCCCATTTTACAAACTTTCTTACCACAGTTGTTAAGTAAAACATTACAGTTATTCAGTGAGCAATATGGTTGTTAAGTGAATCAGGCTTCTCCGTGGACTTGGCTTTGTCCGACGGTCACAAAAGGGGATCATGTGATACCCAGGGACACTGCAACTGTCATAAATATGAGTCAATTGCCAAGCATCTGAATTGTAAACAGGTGTCCGTGGGGATGTTGCAATGGTCACAAGTGTGAATAATGATCATAAGTCCATTTTTTCAGTGCCATTCGCGAGCCTAGCACCCAGAAGGCAATGTGTGCGGACCCCACCTAATCACCTCCCGCCCCCTTACCTGCACTGCGCCTCACAGCTGATTTTCAGCCCATTTGGGGCCTTTTTCGGCCTCCCAGAGGCTTGAGGGAAGCTTCTGCAGGCTTTGCAGGCCAAAAAATGGGCCCATTTCATCACTTCCAGTATACAGGAAGTTGATGAAATGGGCCTATTTTTCAGTCTGCAAAGTCTTTCCTCAAGCCTCTGGGAGGGCAAAAAAGGCCTCAAATAGGCCGAAAATCAGCTGTGAGGCGCACGCATGCGCAGTGAGGTCAATTTGCCTGCAGCTCGTGTACCGGCACAAATGGCTCTGCTTGCCACCTGTGGCACGCGCGCCACACGTTCGCCGTCACAGTCCTAGGTGAATACTGACAAATATATTCCAACAATGTTAGTTTCCCACCCCTAATTAGGATTGCAAAAAAATAAAAACCCAATGGCTACCAACCTGCCTTCCATGGAGGACCTGTATCCTGCATGAGTCAAAAAGAGGGCTGTGAAAATATCTACAGACCTCTCACATCCTAGACATAAACTGTTTCAACTCCTTCCCTCAAAACGAGGCTACAGAGCCCTGCACACCAGAACAACTAGACACAAGGGGAGTTTTTTCCCCAACACTATCACTCTGCTAAACAAATAATTCCCTCAACACTGTCCAACTATTACAAAGTCTGCACTACTATTACTATTAATCTTCCCATCGCTCCTTATCACCCATCCCACTTGTGACTGTATGACTGTAACTTTGTTGTTTGTTTCCTAATGATTTATATTGACTATTTCCTAGTATGATTTGATTGCTTATTGCACCCTATGACGATTATTAAGTGTTGCACCTGATGATTCTTAACTCTCAATGAATGTCTCTTTTATGGACACTGAGAGCATTTGCATTAAGACAAATTCCTTGTGTGTCCAATCACTCTTGGCCAATAAAAGAATTCTTCTTCTTCTTCTTGAATCTATTTTGAAGTGATTGGCGTGTCATCTGTCTACTATAGTATTAATGGGAAGATAGTTGACAAGGTAGAACAACAGCAGAATTAAAATTTCAAAACCCTCCGCTAACAATCAGTTATTTCTATTTAACTTGCAGGAAGTTTACCACGGCTTCTTACCTCTTCCCAAATCACCCCAGTTGTTAACTCTGATCCTTTTTTGGATCAAATATCCCTGTTTCCACATTTGTTAATTCTTTTACTCTCTCTCTCTTTTGTATATATATAGTTTTCCAAAGATATCTTGGTGAATATTTATTCTGCCTACATCGATAACTTCCTAAACGCCAAGGATGCCATAAGGATCGCCAAGGAAGCCCGGCCAGCGTTTATGAAATTTCTGGCGGTAAGAAGTCCTTCTGACTGTCCTGCTTTCACTTCTTGTTGGACAGAAGCCTTCTAAGAAATGATGAACTTCCAGATAATTCGTTCTGCCCTGTGCTTCTCTCTGTTTTGTGCTTTCTTTCTTTCTTTTTCCCTTTTTTTCTTCCTTCCTTCTTTCCCTCCCTTCCTCCTTCATTTCTCTTTCTTTCTTTCTTTCTTTCTTTCTTTCTTCTCTTTTTCCCTTAATTCTTTCCTTCCCTCCTTCCTTCCTTTCTCTTTCTTCCCTCCCTTTCTTTTCTTTCTTTCCTTCTTTTTTCCATCTTCTCTTTTTCCCCTCCTTCCCTCCCTCCCTCTCTCTTTCTTTCTCCCTCTCTCTTTTTTTTCTTTCTTTCTTTCTTTCTTTCTTTCTTTCTTTCTTTCTTTCTTTCTTTCTTTCTTTCTTTCTTTCTTTCTCTCTCTCTCTCTCTCTCTCTCTCTCTCTCTTTCTTTCTTTCTTTCTTTCTTTCTCTACTTCTTATGTCTGTTTTTTAAAAGGACTTTATGGCTGTTTGCATCTTCTTGGATTGTAGTCATTAACGAGGCTCATTAATTTGATGCATGTTACCACCTCCCCCAATCAAATGTCCTGGGATCTACATATCCCACAATCCCTTAACCTTGGCCATATTGACTGAGGGATCCTTGGTGCAATCCTCAGCTTGGTTATTTCTTCCAGACATTTCATTACCAAACTAGATAACAACATCATCATAAAAGTCACCCAACTGGCTTTCATGCCTAAAGCAGGACTAGAACTCCCTGTCTCCTGGTGATTGGCCCAAAATCACCCAGATTTCATGCCTAAGGCGGGACTAGAACTCACCATCTCCTGGTG